CTAATCTAGTCTGTACGAACTCTGCTTGCCAATCTGTCTGATCCCAGATCTGCTCCTCTCAGCTATGAAGTTGTCGGTTAGCTATGATTATGCAAGAGTATTTTGGAACACTTATGCGCCTTTTGAAGCCTCTATAACTCTATAACAGCATATACGGCTTGACCAGTTTGTTCCTTTTTTTTTTTTTTTTTCCCCCTATGTCCCAGTTTTCGAGGAGGGTACTGTTTTCGCCCATTTTCGCTATCCTGATCGTATTGAGACAGTTTGGCCCTGAAACTTTTGTTTTCTTTCTTTTCCGACTCCTCTAGGTCCATCGGTATGCTTTGCTCATTTTCTGCTGTTTGATTTTCATCATTCTGTTTCCACCAGTTCGAGAAGTGTAATGTCCTGTCAGCAACTTTTGCGATTAGCCCGTTCCTTGACCATCTCTCCTCAAATTCCTTCTGGATTATGTTTTTTTTGCTGTCTATATCCTCTTTGTCCAGGAGAAGTGTAATGTCATGTCAACAACTTTTGCGATTAGCCCGTTCCTTGACCATCTCTCCTCAAATTCCTTCTGGATTATGTTTTTCTTGTTGTCTATATCCTCTTTGTCCATCCTATTCAAGGTTTTCTTCCATTCTATTCTTATTTCTGCTTCCATCAATTCTCTAGCTTCCTCCCATGATTCGTTTACCGATATCCTCTTCTTCCCTATTGTATCCAAGCATCTTGCTCTCCAGATGATCCATATTGTAGTTTTTCTGAAAAGTTCTAGTATCTGGTCATTCTCCTCTTCGGTTGTTTCTTCTCTATTTATCGCTATTAGTAGGAAGAATTTGTCTTTTGGGAACTCCATTCCTATTATGCTTGTCCAAATTGATGAACACCTGTTCCATAATGTTTGTGTGTGTGGGCACTCTATTAAGCAGTGTGTGAGGGTTTCCGGTTGGTTTTCCGTGCACATTTTGCAGTGTGCGGAAGTGGTGGATCTTTCTGTTTCTTTTCGTCTTACCTCTAGCCATGCGTTTACTGGAACTGCTAGGTGCATTATTAGCCATTGCAGACTTCTCACTCTTTATGGTATGATTGATGCGTAGTATGTCCAAGGTATGCTTTGCAGCCAGCTTGCCTCTATTTCTAGTTGTTTTTCCCATCTTTTTGTTATTGTTTGATTCGGGTCTGCTGGTTTGCTTCTTATTTTGTAGCCAGTCTTTACTGTGTATTCATGTAGGGCGGTCCATTTTTTGGCCCGTCCTCTTCCCCTATTCTCGTACCATCCCCATTCCCTTCGGTCAACTTTTAATTTTGTTGTGTCCTTGTTTGGCCTGAAAAGTCAGGTTGGCTCCTTTCTTTCTCCTTTCTTTTTCTCCCTTTCCTCTGCTCATTTTTGAGCTCTTTGACCTTTCTCAGGTCCCTCGTATTAAATTCTAGTTCCTCAAGTTTCTCTCCGCATACTAATGTGATCGATTTCCCTGTGTTTTCAAGTTCATATACCTCAAATGTGGCAAGATTTAGGTCTTGTTTCGATAGTTTTTTTAGAAGTAGGGCTACCGAAGGTGCTTCCTGTATCTTCAAGGTTGCCCAGTCACCCTTCTTCCATGTTTTGTTCTTTTTCAACAGGGATCTCCAAGCTATGGGTATGCTGACAATTAGATCTTCTAAATTTTTCTGCAGTCTGTGATGCCCCCTCAAGATCATTCTCAGTTCATTGACCGTTCTCCATTTTTTATTCTCGTCGTCCCATATATATGTTCTATTTTCCATATGTCGTTCTCTACCCATCTTCTCCACCTTTTGTCTCCGCCCTTTAAGGTCCATGGCTTTCCTTCTCCGTCCGTCAACATTTCGTTTCCAAACAGGGGCTGGCGCAACACTTCTTCCTTGGTCGATGGGCCCCTTCGTCTTTGGGGGAACGCCTCTCTCCATGAACCAATCAGGTTGGCCCAATGCTTGCTTGGTGGGTCTCCAGTTGGGGATGTTCTTCCTGGTCTTATCCTTGTTCCTTCCTTCCTGGGTGTCCAATATTTGTTCATGATCCATGCATGTCCTTCAATGCTCTCATGTGCTTTGAAGGGTAAGAGGTTTCTGATTTGGTGGATTGCCATGCCCTGCCAGGGTAATTCCAATTTGAGTAACAGTCTGATTATCCATTTTGTTTGTAATGATTTGTATTCTGTTGCAGGATCTATCAGGCTTAGGCCCCCTTTACTCGCTGCGTTTATGACATACTTCCAGGCCACTTTTGTGATGAAGTGATGTCTTGAGGCATCTCCTGTCCAAAGATACGCTGCTGCCCTTGTTCTTAAGTATTTTGTAAATTGCTTGGGGGGTTCCCATATTGAGGCTATATACCATGTCATCAAGAAGATTGATGTGTTGATGATTAGAGCCCTACCCATTAGAGAGGTATAAATCCTTTGCCACCCTATATACTTATTCATGACTGCTGCTAGTAAGTTGTCAGCTATTGAGTCACTGGTGCCTGGCAAAGATACTGAAGTTCCCAAAAATCTTACCGGGTCCTGGGGATTCAGCCACTGGAGTCCTTGCGTTGTTTCTGTGATCGGGGGTGGGGGTTGATCCGAATTCCACCATCCGACTGTCTTCTTCCAGTTTATCTTCATTTCTGATGCCAGTTGGAATGCCTCCATTGCTTTTGTTAGCGCTTGGAATGAAGAGTCTGACGCTCTTGATAAGACTGTGAGATCATCTACGAAGAGCATAGTTGTCGGCAGGTAGATTTATCTGTTATGTGTACTGTTTAGTGGTTGTAGTCTTTCATTTGATGGGTCCTTCCTTAGATATGCTGCTATTGCTTCCATTACGAAAAGAAAAATCGGCGCCGCTAACGGGTCTCCCTGCCTTACTGACCTGGTCATCTTGTATTCATCAGAAAGGAAGTCGTTCACCTGTACTTGTCCTCTCACTTCTGAGTATAGCACACTCACCCATTTGCGAAAGATTGGTCCGACCCCCATCTTGTCCATGCACATTTGGAGGAAGTCCCAGTTAACTTGATCGTAGGTTTTTTCGAAGTCAAAGAATAGGATGGTTGCTTGTAGTCTTTTGTCCCTTATAAGCTTGGTCGCCTCATTAAGGCATACTACATTATCTAGTATGTATCTTCCGGGTATGAATCCTGTTTGATCCAGGTGGACGCATTTATCCGTGACTTTCTTGATTCTATTTGCTAGCGTTTTTGCTAGAATTTTGTATGCTACGAGTAGTAATGTGATTGGTCTATAATTTCTTATATCCGTTCTATCTCCCGTTTTGTACAATAGTGTCACTATCCCTGTACTTATATCTTCTCCTAAGCTCCCTTCCTTGAATGGTTCTTGATAAAATTTGTGTAAATCTTCCCCTAAAACTGACCAGTATTCTTGCCAACATTCTTTGGTCAGACCGTCTTTACCCGGGACCTTGTTTGGTTTCATGGAGTTTAGGGCCCTGTGTATCTCTGCTAGTCTTATGTCCTGATCCAGGTATGCCCTTGCTTCGGGGTTTAAACTCCTATCTAGGTGCTTTGTGAATTTCTCTCTAGCCCGTTTGACTGTGTTCGAATTTCCTGCATCTGGTTGTGTTGTGTACAACTTCTTGTAGAAATCTGCGGCTATTTCTAAAATCTGCTTTGGGTTGCCTGTTGTTATGCCTCTCTCATCTTTCAGTTCTGTTATCCTGTTATTGTGGTTATTTGACTTAATTTTTTGGAAGAAAAACTTAGTCATGGACTCGTTGCTTTCCCGGTCTTTTATTCTTGTTCTAATGATGAGGCCTCTTCTCCTCCATTCCGCCCATTGCGCTAGTTCTTCCTTTGCCGTGGCCAGCAGGGTTTCGTAGAGAGGAGCTCCTGGGTTACAGATTAAGTTATATTTCGCTATATCAACCAAGGCTTCTAGAAGTTCTTGCCTTTCCTTTTTACGCTTAACTTCTTTCCTAGATTCTTTATTTAGTCCACAATACTTAGCTCCCGTAGCCCCTTGGCGAAGTTGGTAACCATCTCTACTCCTTGGAGCTTGGGTGCAATTCCCTCGCAGGTTTGTTTGATGACTTTTTGGAATCCTTCTAATCTGATTAAGGAGTTGTTTACTTTGAAGAAGCTTGGCCCTACTTGATTGTCCAAACCAAAGTTAAGTAGTAGACCTATCTGCCTGTGGTCAAAGCCTCCATAGTATGGGTAGTTAAATATTGTAGTCGCTACTGTTGCTCCCAATAATGATTCCGATAGTAGGAAGTAGTCGATTCCAGAGAAGGAGGTTCTCCCTTGTGGAGTTTTCCTTGTGCATGTATACCTTTTGACATCTGGGAATCTTGTTCTGAAGGGTTCTATCAGTTTCTTTTCTGTTATGAATTCCAACATTATTTGTGCTTCAGATTCGTCTATTCCCCCTCTAGAGTAGGAGATCCTATCTAATAGAGGGTCTAGAGTAGCATTCCAGTCCCCCACTGCTATGGTGTGGCGAAGGTTTGGGCACTCTTGTTTGATTGTCTCTAATAAGATTCTTCTCTGTGCGTTGGAGTTTGGTGCATATACATTAAGTAGTGTTAGTTCTTCTTGCCTTAGAGAGAAGTCTACTCTGATCCATCTTCCTCCGGTTGTATCCTTGTTTATGTGTTCTATGTTTAGGTTTTGTGCAGCCTTTGCCTTACTATTAAATAGAATCAGCACCCCTGCTGAAGCTGCTGCCGGACTATTGACCCATTCTGCTCTCTTCACATCCCTTAGTCTCCTCACTATTTCTTCTTTAACTACTCTGTGTTCCTCAGAGTCAGAAAGGTGAGTTTCTTGGATGCTAACTATGTTTGGGGGCTCCTTATCAAACCAATTTGTGTTAGCTGTGAAGCTGTACCATTTCGCAGGTGAGGACAAAATTGTTGCCAGGCCGTGCACATTCCAGGATCTTATTTCCAGCTCAGCTTTCCTCTTGTCCCTTTTGTAATCCTTTATTCCGCCCTCATTTCGGTCCTCGCCCTCATGGTTCAGTGTTCTTAGGGTTGCTGTTTATCCTGAATTGCGTGTATTTAGGAGGATCTGGTTGGGCTCATTGGCTGTAAGGTCACCCCTTCTCCCTTTTCCAGTATGGGGTGTAATGCTTCTCCAATCTTCGGAATCGTCATCTTTTGGATGCCCATGGCCAAGGCTTGTGCCAGGCTTGCCGCTGGCAATTCTGGCAAAGCTGTTGTGCCAAGCGCCGTGTAGGGGAGCTGTGAAATCTGCCACCATGGTCTCCATTGCAGGCTGCTGTACAATTTCGCTTTTTCATTATATATTGCGACCACAAGTCTCACATCTAAGGTTTCCCCTTCTTCCACTTGGTCTTTCCCGGTCACTGCGTGCACTCTCAACACCTCCCCAAGCACCCCTTCCTTCATTGGTTTTTCCTTTGATACCATAGTGCTCAATTTTTCCTTTATGCTTTGCCCCTTCTCCAATCTGGGTAGTGCGAAATTGGATGCTGTGGCTATCTGCCGTTCACCCGACAGTTCTTCGTGTTTCATGGCCAGGATCGTTCTCGAGGGAAGGATGGTTCTGCCCACAACCAGAGTCCTGTTCCAGAATTCTATTTGCGTATAGTCGTTCAGACGACCTATTGTGACCGTCCTCAGTCTCAGTTCTTCATTGAGATCTGACAGTCTCTCCACTTGCGCGTCTAAAACCTGGATCTGATTTATCAGGACCTCTCTCTCATCCTGTATTTCCCCCACTTGCTGTTCTCCTTTCCTTTCATCCTTTCGTCCAGAATCCAGTTGGGCTTTCGTGATGCTTCCCTGCTCCTCCCCTTGGATTCCTTTCCCTCCTCTTTGGTTTCCCTTCCTCCCTGTCCTGCGTTTCTCTTCTTGTTGTAAGTCTCAGGTAGATCCGGCATTTTGTATCTGTCCTCCCTCCATTCCTCTCCCTCGTACTGTTGTGTGCCCGCCTCTCTTGGTTTCTGACCCCTTGCGCTGTTCTTTTTGATTCTGCAATATTGTTGTGCGTAATACTCAGTCATTTCTGCCTCCCTGTTCAATGCATCATAGCTATTTTCTGAGAGTGGGATGAGGTTCTGGTTGTGTGCTTCTTTCCTTGCTTTTTCCTCCTCTCTCACATATGCCATGTGCAGTTCGAACAGACTTGCTCTCTGTGCCTTTGTGCTTTGAATGTATTCCCTGCTCTTTTCGGTCGTGCGATAATTCCAGTAGTCGTCGCCTGTGTCCTGTTCGTCTGGGTCTATTGTTTGCTCTTCCCTATCATCTTCCTTTTCGAGCTCCCCTCCTTTTCTTTTGCTTCCAGTTTTTCTTTCTTCTACCATCTCCACATCGTGGTTTTGTGCGCCTCTTCCTTCTGTGTTGATCCTTTGTTCTATCTCTGATCTGTGGTTTCCCCTGCGCAGATACCTTTTGACCGCGTTGCCTTACTTGTTGTTTTGCGCTGATTCCGTCTCCATTGCCTATTTCTTGTTTTCTTTCACTTTTTCCGCCCAACTTCTCTCTGTCAACTCCCCGGTTTCATCCAGGTCCATTAGCAAGTCCCTCAATCTTCTCTCCTCTTGAATACGTTCCTTGTTCAAAACCGCATCTGTGGTGAAGATCTTGGGTGATTTCTTCCCCACTTTCTTGATCTGCCAACGGCTGTCCGAGGGGGGGTAGATGTCCGGTCTTTGGGTTGGTTCACTTTCCAGAACCCAGACCCAATCTGGTGTTTCCAGGTTGTCATTGAAAACCCATCCCAAGTATTTTGCATCTCTGACAAACCAGAATCCTGGTTCCCCCTCCACCTCCTCCAGACTCGTTGGTTTCATAATTCTGAGTTTCGCGGAATCTGCGTTCTTTGGACATCTTGGGTATGTTCCCAGGTGTCCCCTCTATCTGCATTTGAAACACAGGGGGTGCGTTTTGGAAGAGACCGTTACCCTGACGTTTCTTCCCTGACCGAAAAGTGCCAATAATGCGGCAGTTGGAGGGGGACTGCTCCCTGAGTGTTGATGCATACCATCATGGTATCGTGCTGTGGAATTAAGAAGTCGGGAGTTGGGGTGATCCAGTCAATTACTGGAAACTATCCATATTCCTCTGTAGCCTTGCTTTGATTGCCCCGTGCAACCCTTCTTGCACCCCGTCAAACTGTATCCAGAAATGCTTCTGCACCAGAGTTTGTCTGTAGCGGGAGGGGGTTGATTGGGTGGCTTTGGCTGGTGCCCATGGATAGACAATGACGACAGATGAGTGACACGTGAAAGTTTTGTTCTTTAGGAATTCTGCCGATTTCTCATCTTTGCACACGACCATTATGGTGTTCCTTCGTCTGTTGTGGAAGGTTCTTCAGTTTGTCCCAGAGCCATTTCAACTTGTCCGCCCTGTTTAGTTCCTGGCTTTTCTTAGAGAATGTAAACAGCACCGCGTGCTTGCTGTATATTTCGTTTAGGACTGGTAAAGATTCCGTTGGATATTCCAAGATTACCACTTCTTCTTTTCCCCATCTTCTCCATTTTCTTTGTCCACTAGTATCGTTCTCTTGATCATTTGAACCCTTGTTTTTTCCTCTAACCAGTTTTGCGTTTCCACTCCTAGTCCTTCCTTAGCCATCTCCAAAGATTCCAGGTGGGAATCCCCTCCCCTCCTGATTTATGATCCTTTTGATAGGTAACCCTTGTATCCGATCTGGGAAGCGGCTGCGTGCTGGGTGTGGTTGGACGAGGGATCGGGGTGAGGGTAGGCTGGAATTGTGGCTCGGCTTGTTTCCTCTATGAGATGGAGGGGGGAGTGTTATGGACAGGGCCTGCTACGTGGGGGGGGGGGGGGGGGGGGTCTGGAACGTGGCAGGATGGGATCCGATTGGGATTGCGTACGGGGTGGAGTGGTGACGGGGGGCGGATCGAGCGTTGGTATGGACCTTTACCGAGGCGAGAGAGAATTGAGATTGGGAAGGGATCAGGTTGGGGTCAGGACGGGGGGTGGTCGCGATGGAAAGTTAGTATTCATAGGAATAATACTTGATAATATTAGGAATAATGATAATAATAAGTAAAGTTACTAATAAGGAATAAAATTTATTGATAACGATTAGTGTGATGACCCGTCCATACATGGACCGAAACACACAGCTGATTTATGAGTTTTGCCCATAGACTGAATGCCCTGCTGAGTTTCCCACTTGCTACTAAGTCTGTGTGTGCACGCTCGCTGGACTGCATGTCTGTCTGAGTGCTGGATGGCTTGAGTGTGTGTGTGACCATGCCTGTCTGAGTGTTGGTTGGCCTGGGTGTGTGTGTGACCGTGCCTGTCTGAGTGTTGGTTGGCACGAGTATGTGTGTGGCCACGTCAGGGCACTTGCTCGTTCGTTGGGCCCTCACGGCCGGTACTTACCTGTGGCCGTGACATTGAGGGGTTGCAGCTGGGAAAAACACTGGCCGGTAGGTACCGCACCTGGAAGGGGGTAGATGTGCAGGTACCGGAGGCTGAGCAGAAGAAGACAAAAGTTGCATTTTTAGAGGCCCAGTAGTTGTAGGTAGGTCTAGATGGATATCAGTCCAACCAGTCTGGGTCTAGGGCCTGTAGCGGGCAATATCAAAGTTTGCAATGATGTTTCCCTTCGAAAAGGAGGAGGTACCGGTTGCTTGGGAGGCCGAGCGGCCTGGAAGTCACCGCCCAAGAGGCAAAGCAGGCCGCTATATCTTCTGGCCGGGCGGAGAGTCCGGCCTCTTTTTCGGTGTGCAAGTTTGGCGACACACTGGTGGAGYGCTGGCTGGAGCAGCGCTAAGCTGGAGCAGCGCTGCTGGGGAGGAAGGAGAAGGACACGAGGGAGGAAGAAGGAGGAAGAAGGAAGGAAGGGGGAGGAGCGCCAGGGGTACTTACCTGGCTATGATGGCAGCCATCTTCATCACCTTGGTGGGCACTGCAGCAGGGAGTCCCCAGCCGGGGAGAGCTACACCAAGAAGCTTCGAGGCAGGGTCTGGCATGGCGGCCTGAGCTGGAGCGGCCATAGCTGCTTTGGGTTGTCCTTTGGCATCTGAGCAGAGCCCAGTAGTCCGCCATAGCCTCGGCCTATGAGAGTGAAGAGTGGGAGAGGCGGCCATGGGTATGGTGGACCTTAAGTGATACCTGCAGTAGAAGAGGGACTCGGCCGTTGATTCTGGACCAGTCATTCAACATTGTATTATTAATTCTTGTATGAATAAGAGAAGGGGGAGATAAGGAGGAGGAGATTGTTGGGCGAAGAAGAAGAGCCTTGTCGTTGTCTTTGCTGGTGTACATATTCTTCTTCTTCTTTCTTACTTCTTCTTGAAATCCTCTCTCTCTCCTCTCAAATTCATTCATTTCTTTCTGCAATTGGATGGCATTGTACTTTCCAGTGGATGTGTATCTCGAAATTGGTCAGGGTCATAACATTGGAATCAGAGCGGATTCTACTTGCTGGTGAGAGTTGACTTTTGCTGAGCTTTTCAGTCTGTTTCTCTGATTTCATTTCCGATGCCCGTTGAGACTCGCATCCAGAAAGAAGAGAGAGAGAGGAGGGAGAGAAAAAAGGGAGAGAGGGAACGTGACTGTCTGAAGTGGGCAAGGACTGGGAAAAGGAGTGTTCATCCAAGTGAGAGGGGGAGTGAACCTCTTGAGAGTCTAATTGATTCTTTTGCTGACTGGCAACTCTCTGACCCATCTGTCAATATTGACAGTCCAAAAATGGCTCAGCTAACTTCAGTGCAATGGCGGGCCTTGTTAGATGCAGCCAACAATGAGGAAAAACCATATCTGCAAGCACTCCTAGATAGTGCAATCAAAAAGGGACAGGAGGCAGAGAAAGAGAGGAAGGAGACATTGTTGCGAAGGCAAGTGGCCATCCTAGAGACTGTTCCCTCACTGACTAAAGAGCAGTGTGGGGAAGCAGTCTATACTTACCACCCTTGTTCAAGTCAGGAACCTTGAGGATCATACCACTCAGATCGCTCAAGTCTTTGCAAAGTTGCAGACACTTTAAGATGATCTGACTGATATGACCCGCAAGTACCATGATTTGACAAAGGAGGTGGCTGACCTGCGACAAGCCCAAGTGGCCAACCCTCTTCCTCTACCCCTTGGATCTGAAGCTGCAATTGAAACTACCTCTGCCCCTCTTACTGTATCTTCATCCTTGAATGTGATGGCAACCCCCTCGGGACCTGCAACAGGTGCAGATTCCGCTGTTGCTGTGACAAGCAACGAGGCTGGAAATTCTGCAACTGCTGCAGCCCCAAGATTGGAACCAGCAGGTGCTGGTCCCAGCTACGTCGGACCCTATGTGGATCGTAAGGCGGCTCAAATACCGTCTAAGAATGACGGCAAAGAGGGCATCGAATTCTGGATCAGCTCCATGAGGGCATATTTCGAGATTTTGGGGACTCAACCTGAGAACCAATCCGTGATCATGGGAATGAATGTCGAACCGGTCGTGCGGGGCTTCTTAGAGGTCCAAGCTACGCGAGCTGGGATTCCTAAAATTCAACTAACAAGATGGCTTAAGGCCACCCCGGTTGCCTCCCTCGAGGAACTCCTCATTTCACAATACCTGGATCCACATGCTACAGCAAGGGCAAGAGTTCAGCTTGACAAAATCAAGCCCAGCAAGTGGACGGGCCCCATGAAAAGCCTGCAGACCTATCTTAGCAAGATGTTTGCTACACCTGGATTGGAACTGACTGCACAATCTTGCTTGGATGTGGTTAAAGGCGCGGTTCCCACTAACTTTACTAATTGCCAGGGCAGGGGCTTCATTGGTTACACTGACTGGTACACCTTGATGAAGGACATAGTCAGTCTTGAGGCTGTAGACCTCGTCACCACGGCAGGCAGCAAAAAGCCCATGGGCGGCAGGCGGTTCAAAGGCAGCAGCCGTTTCACTGTGCATGACCTGCTGGAGGCCGAAGAAGAAGCCATGCAGATGACCCCACTCTTGGTGACGACCAAGAACAGGACTCAGATACAGCTTGTTTTTCAGCCCATGAGTCTGATGCAAACAAAGAAGAAGAAAAATTTACTGCCTTTAAAAAGACTGCCAATGCAAAGGGATCGAATCGGAGTGCAGGGAAGAACTATGTCCAACTTCCCAAGGGAGTCAAGATCCCACCTAAACCGGAGGATGCAACTACTAAACCTTGGGTTGACCTCCGGATTACCGAAAATGACAGGCGGAAAAGACTCAAGAAGGGGGTATGCCTGCATTGCCAAAAACCAAACCATAAGGTGCAAGATTGTTATAGGCTGCAGGGAAACCAGAACCGGGCGTAGAGTCAACTTCAGCAAACTCTACAGCAGGGGAGACTGAATCTGAGGCAGATCAGCAGTCCTCCCTTGAAGCCCAATCATCTGCTGAACACAAGGCTGAGGTGAGTAACGTTTTGTATGCCGAGCCTTGGGAGGAGTCTGGGACGGTCGACTTTCACTACCACTTGGAGCATTGGGCTGAGATGAAACAGCAGCGTGCCCAGGGGACGGTGAAGTTGATCTTCTTCAAACTTCTCATAAACCACCGCTATCTCCGTGTTTTGGTTGATTGTGGTGCTCCGACTAACTTTTTGTCACCTCACGGGATATGCAAGGTGAGCTTGGGGATGAAGCAAGTGGCCTTGCAGAACCCTTGTCGGACCCAAGTTGGCAACAAAGAAGTTGTCGTCTCCACGCATGCAGTCAAAGGTGTGCGCACTACCTTTGACAAGGACAAAACTGTCACACACGCGTTGAACTTCTATGTTCTTGACAAGTGCCTCTTTGACGTTGTCCTTGGCTTGGGCTGGCTGCAGTCCCAATGCGAATGGACCAAGTGGAAGGAGTCACTTTTCATGATCAAAGATGCTAGAGGGAACGAGCTTCCTGTCCTCCTGGATGAGAAGCACGAGTCCCTAGTGACTTTTCTAAATGCTATGGAGTTTTGCAAGAAATGGCGCAAGCACAAGGAGGACGAACAGTTGTATGTTGCCTTTGTTCGCCCTACCCATGTACCATCTACTTTTGCGGTGAATTCCACTACTACTGCGGCTAGTGATACTACTTCTAGTACTACTACTCCCAACACCTCTATTTCTCTACCCTCTAATGGTCCAAATTATCCTACTTCAGATTCGGTCGTCTCTATACGCGACCTGCGACCGGATCTAGGCGATCCCTTTGCTGATCCCCCACCCCCACCGGTCCCACCAGACATCCAAAACCTCCTCGTTCGGTTTCCAGAGGTCGGGGCCGAATCACGTGGAGTCCCCACGCGATCGGTCCGACACACCATCGAGTTGGTTGAAGGTGTTGTCCCTCCAAAGGGCTGCGTGTACCGAATGGGAACCGGCGAGCTGGAGGAACTCCGGCGACAGATTGATGAGATGATTGACAAGGGGTGGATTAAGCCTAGGGAATCTGAATTTGGTGCTCCTGTGTTGTTTGTTCCAAAGAAAGGAGGCAAACTCCGCATGTGTATTGACTATCGCAGTCTAAACCGCATCACAAGAAAGAATGTCTATCCATTGCCTTGTATAGATGATTTGCTTGATGCTGCAGGTGGGTGCAAGGTCTTCTCCAAGATCGATCTCAAGTCTGGCTATCACCATATTGAAGTCGATCCTGCGGACCAGCACAAGACTGCGTTCAAAACACGCGATGGGCTTTACGAGTTTACTGTAATGCCCTTCAGTCTCACGAACGCATCGGCCACCTTCCAAAGCCTCATGGACAAAGTTCTCCGCGAACAGATTGGCCGGTTCGTGGTGGTTTACCTCGATGACATACTAATCTTCAGCAAGTCCATGGAGGAACACCTCAAACACCTTGAGGAAGTCATGACCATCCTCAAGAAAACGCAACTCCATCTCAACTTAGAGAAATCTGAGTGCGGGAAGGATAGCGTCATCTATCTTGGTCATTTGTTGTCTTCTGCAGGCCTGGAGCCTGAGGCAACCATGGTTGAGGTCATACGCGATTGGCCTCAACCCGCGAACATTCGCGAACTGCGTTCTTTTCTTGGCCTCGCGTCATACTATCGGAAGTTTGTGCCCCGCTTCTCTATTGTTGCTCATCCATTGTCGCGGTTGACCAGTAAAAATGTTCCCTATTCTTGGGACGCCGCGTGCACAAATGCCTTCCAAGCTTTAAAGGAAGCCTTGGTAAGTCACCCAATACTCAACATTGTAGACCCCAAACTGACGTTCGTAGTCACTACGGATGCGAGCCAGTACGGAATCGGCGCAGTGCTGCAACAAGACGACGACGATGGCTTGCGGCCACTCGAGTACTACAGCAAACGCATGCCCAACGTAAAGGTAGCCACTTCCACCTACATGCGCGAGCTCTATGCTTTGCGCATGGCGTTGGATCACTGGAAACACTATCTTTTGGGACGCCATTTCAAAGTCTTCTCAGATCATGAGACTCTGAAGTTGATCAAACAGCAAACTACCATGTCCCCTACCTTGCTTCGCTGTTTCCATGAGATTGACATTTTCGACTTCGAATTAAGACACAAGAAGGGTTGTTATAATCGAGTGGTTGACGCATTGTCTCGCCACCCTGAGTACATGACTTGCCTTGTGAAATACTTCGACCTTCGGAAGAAACAGAAGGAGGAGCTCGTAGAGCAGACAGCCAAGGATCCATAACTTAGTTCCATCCTTGAGCGGCTGCGGGCTGATCCTAGTAGTCAGCCTGATTTTCACGAGTATGGAGGACTGATTTTTCGTCGCTACGGGAACCACGACCGTTTGTGTGTGCCCAACCATGATCCTCTCCGCACACACTTTTTGGATGTGGCTCATGGCCGGAGCGGACACTTCGGCATGGCAAAAATGTAAGCAAATTTGCTGAGATAGTTTGATTGGCCTGACATGAAGGGGACTGCTGAGACGTTTGTGGCTGAATGTCAAGTCTGTCAACGAATCAAACCATGCAGACAAAAGTCGATGGGGCTACTCACACCCCTACCCATTCCCGATGGTCCCGGGGAGTCTGTCTCCATCGACTTCAGCGACATGGGAAAGGTAAGTAAGAACGGCTACTCACAGGTCATTGTTGACCGATTCTCTAAGTTCCTCAATCTGATCCCTTTGCCACCTCATGCCCCAACAGAACTAGTGATTCGTGAATTCCAACAGAAGTACATTCTGCAGTTCGGAACCCCGAAGACTCTCGTGAGCGATCGGGATCCGCGGTTCATTAGTACGGAGTGGAAGGACTTCACGTCTCAACTGGGGATCAAACTGTGTATGACATCTGGCCGACACCAAAAAGCCAACGGTTTGGCTGAGGAGATCAACCAGACTGTGTTCCAACTACTTCGCACTTTGATTATCCCGGATTAGGAAACATGGGATGAAGAGCTGTATTTCGTTAAGGGGTTGTACAACAACTCCGTCCACTCCGCCACCGGCATGACAACCAACAGGCTGCATTACGGTTGGCAGATCCGGAATCCGCTCTCTTACCTATTCCCTGAGCAGCCAGCTGGTTTAACACCTGGCAGGCGTGGCTTCAGGGCCAAGTATGATTGCTTGCTCAAAGTTGTCATTGCAGCTATGACCAAGCGACAACACGCCATGATCCATCATGCGAACAAGAAGCGCAGACCGTCAGATATTGAGGTAGGAAGCTATATCTGGGTCAAGATGTCTGAATTCTCAGAAGAAGAGGGAGTCTCACGCAAACTCCTCCCTCTCTATTATGGGCCGTGGGAAGTTTTGGATGTGATTGGTGAAGATCACTTTGGCCCTTCGTACATCGTTGATGTGCCAGCCCATCAACGCACATACCCTGTGTTCCACGCATCCAAACTGTACCTCCGCCGTGATGCTAAGACATTCGATTATCGCGAAGATATGATCCCTCGCGCGATCAAGGGCGGGCATGAGATTAGACAGGATCAAACAGCACGTAGGGAAGGGACGCAACAGACAGTACCAGGTTCACTTCATGTATCACCCATTAGACGATCTGTACTGGATTTCCAAACAGGAACTGCTACGCAGTGTACCGCGTGTTGTCAAAGCATATGAGCGACAAATCGCCACTAGCGCTGCACCTAAGATCTCTGCAAAGCTCACTGCAACAGAGTACTCTAGGAATCTCTTTGCCTTGCTTGCTTACGATGCATTTGTCGAGGACTCAGAGTGAGTTACTCGCTCGAAGGGACCTCGTTCTTGAGGGGGGAGTAGTGTGATGACCCGTCCATACACAGACTGAATGCCCTGCTGAGTTTCCCACTTGCTGCTAAGTCTGTGTGTGCACGCTTGCTGGACTGCATGTCTGTCTGAGTGTTGGATGGCTTGAGTGTGTGTGTGACCATGCCTGTCTGAGTGTTGGTTGGCCTGGGTGTGTGTCTGATCGTGCATGTCTGAGTGCTGGTTGGCATGAGTATGTGTGTGGCCCGTCAGGGCACTTGCTCGTTCGTTGGGCCCTCATGGCCGGTACTTACCTGTGGCCGTGACATTGAGGGGTTGCAGCGGGGAAAAACACTCAAGTAGCGGGTAGGCCGGTACCGCACCTGGAAGGGGGTCGATGTGCAGGTACCGAAGGCCGAGCAGAAGAAGACAAAAGTGGCATTTTTAGAGGCCCAGTAGTTGTAGGTAGGTCTAGGCGGATATCAGTCCAACCAGTCTGGGTCTAGGGCCTGTAGCGGGCAATATCAGAGTCTGCAATGACGTTTCCCTCCGAAAAGGAGGAGGTACCGGTTGCTTGGAAGGCCGAGCGGCCTGGAAGTCACCGCCCAAGAGGCAAAGCAGGCTGCTATATCTTCTGGCCGGGCGGAGAGTCCGGCCTCTTTTTCGGTGTGCAAGTTTGGCGACACACTGGTGGAGCGCTGGCTGGAGCAGCACTAAGCTGGAGCAGCGCTGCTGGGGAGGAAGGAGAAGGACACGAGGGAGGAAGGAGGAAGGAAGGAAGAAAGGGGGAGGAGCGCCAGGGGTACTTACCTGGCTATGGTGGCAGCCATCTTCATCACCTTGGTGGGCGTTGCAGCAGGGAGTCCCAAGCCGGGGAGAGCTACACCAAGAATCTTCGAGGCAGGGTCTGGCATGGCGGCCTGAGCTGGAGCAGCCATAGCTGCTTTGGGTTGTCCTTTGGGCATCTGAGCAGAGCCCAGTAGTCCGCCATAGCCTCGGCCTATGAGAGTGAAGAGTGGGAGAGGCGGCCATGGCTATGGTGGACCTTAAGTGATACCTGCAGTAGAAGAGGGACTCGGCCGTTGATTCTGGACCAGTCGTTCAACATTGTATTATTAATTCTTGTATGAATAAGAGAAGAAGGAGATAAGGAGGAGGAGATTGTTGGGCGAAGAAGAAGAGCCTTGTCATTGTCTTTGCTGGTGTACATATTCTTCTTCTTCTTACTTCTTCTTCTTCTAATCCTCTCTCTCTCCTCTCAAGTTCATTCATTTCTTTCTGCAATTGAATGGCATTGTACTTTCCGGTGGATGTGTATCTCGAAATTGGTCAGGGTCATAACATTAGCCGAAAAGGGGGCAGGTGAATGAGTAGTTGCCGGGTTGCCGAGGGATTGGGTGATGTTAGGAACAGAATCAGTGCAGGGGCAGGATGAGATCGGGTTCGAAATCCGGGCGCGATTGGGGCGGAGTCGGAATCTGGGTGGAACCAGGAGGGGAAACAGACGGAGACGGGGCCTATGTGGGGGGGCGGGGTCTGGAACATGGCAGGATGGGTTTTGATTGGGATTGCGTACGGGGATGGAGTGGTGACGGGGGACAGATCTGGCGCTGGTATGGACCTTTACCGGGGCGAGAATGAATTGGGATTGGGAAGGGATCAGGTCAGGGTCAGGATGGGGGTGGTCGAGATGGAAAGTTAGTATTCGTAGGAATAATACTTAATAAAAATAGGATTGATGATAATAATAATAGGTAAGGATTATTTGTAGGAATAAAATAAATAAGTAACGATAGAGTTAGTATTCTTAGGAAAAATAATAAATAATGTTGCTAATAAGGAGTAAAATTAATAGGTAACGATTAGATGAAAAGGGGGCAGGTGAATGAGTAGTTGCCGGGTTGCTGAGGGATTGGGTGATGTTAGGAACAGAATCAGTGCAGGGGCAGGATGAGATCGGGTTTGAAATCCGGGCGAGATTGGGTCGGAGTCGGAATCTGGGCGGGATCAGGAGGGGAAACAGACGGAGACGGGGCGGGAACGTGATTGGTAAGAGACAGAGAGCGGGCTGAACAGGATCGGGGAGGGGTGTTGTAGGGTCGCAATGGGCCCTGGTGGGGTCGGGTGGGGTCGGGTGGGGTCGGGACGGGATCGGAGTGTGGTGAGGGTGAGAGTGAGATGGGGTTGGGGTCTGTACGGAAATGGGATTGGGGCAGAGTGGGGCCGGGATGGGGTTGGGGCAGGAGCGGGCGCGAGATGGGATCGAAGTGAGCCTGGAGTGGGACCAGGTCTGGGATCGGGGTGTATCTAGGTGGGGCTGGAAAGGGATCGGGATGGGAGCAGGTCAGAAAGAGATCTAGCTCCGGATCTTTGGTGTCCGTAGCTAGACTCGGCTTGTCTTGTGAAAGTCTTATGATGGTTCCCACGCGCTGCCCTTGGACCTTGCGTGGGTGTTGGCGCTGATGCCTCTTTCTCGGCTTTGTCTGTTGGCGATGAATGGTAAAGGAACGATCTTACGTCTTGTCTGCTTCTCTCGACTCTCTCTTCTTGCCGTGGTGTGTTGCTCTCCTGCGTTGATCTCCTCCTTTGTCTTCTTCCCGGGCTGCTTCGTCCCTTGCGCTAATCCCTCCTTTTTCTCCCTTTCGTTCCTTGTCAGTATTTGGGAGGTAACCCCTTTACCCTATCACGCCTTCCTTGAGTGTGCTTCCTTCCTCTTCATGTACCTTCCGCCCTTTTAATGGGTCATTTGACTTTCCTTCCGTTTCCTTTCTCCCCTCCACCGCTGTCTCCTCTTACCCCTAGCTCGCTTCTCTTTCCTTTCTCGTTGCTTTTCTCCTTTCCTTCTTCGGAGAAAGTTGCTCGTTTTCCTTCCCCTTTTCTTCGACTCTGTTGTCTTCTCAACTTAGATACTCTGCGCATCTCCTCTTTCGCTCCTGGCTCATCATCACTTCACCCTTCCTCTCCTCGTCTTTGCCCTTGTTTCCTGTCTCTTGTCTCTTGCTGTAAAAAAGCCACGCCCGAAGGCGTGGCGAGGAGCCGCGTTGTCTTGCCTTCGGATTCCCGCCTTTCGTGTTCCTGTTCGAAAGGCTGAAGTTGCACGCGTGAAGACGCGCGCGGGGCGAAGTTTCCCGCCGGTTGAAGGCCGTTCGCGGGCGTGCGTTCTCGGCAGTTTAGCGCTGAGAATTAGCGCTTACCGGGCGGCGCTAGCGCTCCAGTCCAGGTGAGTTCAATGTTGATATCTCCTGCAATTCTTTTTCTAACCTTTCTTTCAACTCCTTTTTAATCCTTTCTTCTTCTAGCTGAGTTTTCTTTCTCAGCTTTTCTTCTTTCTGTTTCTTTCTATCTTCTTTCTCTTTCTTTTTCTCAGCCTGCCGACGTTCTACTTCAGCCTGCTCTGCAGCCAAGGGCCCTGGCTTCACATTGCCTGATCTCATCATCATACGGGAGGTGCATATCCTCCCAAAGCCCAGGGGAAAGAAGATTCTGAAAAGGGGCCCCAGCAACACTGATAGGGCCAGCAATCCCTGCATGGGGTAATCGTCCATGGTGGGTGTCAGCACAGGAATGACCTCCGCTGGCCCACCAAGTAGATATCCCAGATCCTAGTTCACTTGATTGGATGGGATCTGGATTTTTTTAATTTTTTTTTTCAAAATCTGGATGCCGCTGCTTCAGAACAACGAAATTTGATAATGCAGAAGATATATAAAGTTTTCCTAATCAATATAGAAAGTAGGAACTCTTCTCTTCCTTCTTCCTTTGTTTGCTGTCTGTTTAGCTAATTAGCTGGTCTATGCCTTCAATGGTCTTGTCTGGTCACTTTCGTCAGAGAAGGTAGCCAGGTGATACTCAAACTTACTTCAAAAACAAATTCAGTTTGCCACGATTATCTCAGCTCTCAGCTTCTTACACTCTGACGTGGCAGTACACAGTTCCCTGACTCAAACTTCCTTCCCTTCCTATCGTTAGACCAGATGGACAACACGAAAACCAGATGTTGACTCTCTAATCCTACCCGTCAGATCAGACCAGGCCACAGGTTTCGTCCAGACAGCAGCAGCGGCCAGCAGAATGGAGGGGGAAGAGATACACGACACAGATTTGCAATCTATCGAGGTAAGTGGGGTAGGAGGTTCTTCTCTGCTTTGTAGCCGTTGATGAAGACTCCACGTTCGCTCCAATCGCTCCAATTGCTCCAATCGTAGGTAAGTCTTCTTCTCCTTAGCCCCTTCTTCTTCGGCCAACTTCCCCCTCTATCCCAATCCAACACCTCTTCACCTCAACTCTCGCCAGCTGTACTCAAGCCAGTTTATCCTCCTCGCCGGCCTTGATCATGCCAGTGCATCCAGTGAGAGTAACGAGTTCTGCTCTGATACCAAATTTGCAAGGAACCCGACTGTTCATCACTTGCTGGAGTGCATCAGATCACATGCATATCACTGATTTCACAGATTACGAAGTCTCACACAAAACCCAATAGAAGATGAATGAGAACCAGGAAGCTCAACTCAATTATTAAACCCAGATTTAGAGAGAGAACATCGTGAGCTCAAAATGTATAGCGCTGAACAGAGTTACAAGTCTTCTTCATTCAACATGAGTTCCAAGACTGGCGCTCATCGGCGCCAGCTGCCAGATGTCAACAGCGCTCAACAGGTAAGTATCACCATAGCTCTCACTTCCCCCTCTCTCATCTGCCTTCTTCTCTCTCTCCCTCTATGTCTTAGTCCTGGTCTACCCTCACTCGTCATGCATGCACACCCCCTATCACAAGAGGATCTACTCTGAATACTACTCACTGGTATCTCCTACTGGCTATCCCTACTAACATACTAACTAGTGCTGGTGCAGCTATGGCTGCCTTCCCTCTAGCCAGCACTCTCTTCCTCCTTGCCACATAGCGCTGCTCTTCAGCCTAGCGCAGCTCACACACATCTAGCGCACAAGTGCCACGGCACTTCCACACTCTCATGCGAAGTGAGCATCTGTCCAAATGGGGGGCTGGCCAGTCCATTATAGTGCTGGACTGGTCTGGCGTGGCCTGCATTCAGCCTCAAAGGTGCCTGGGACTCCTGCCCAGTACCGATTGTTGCAAAGTGTGTGTCCCAGTATCGTTTCCCATGGTCTGCTGCTGCTTTGGGCCATCGGGCCTGTCTGTTGGACTCCTAGTCTGACTCAGGACTGACTCGTGGGAGTATGACTGGACTGGGACTAGCCTTTGACATATTGCCGAACAGGCACGGCTTTTCAACAAGGAGACATGACCCTAACTCAGTCTTGAAAACTGTGTCCGATACCTGTTCGTGCAGGACCTGTTTGTGACTGTTCGAAATGACTTTTCATTTCATTATGGATGCGACATATGCCTCAGGGAACTTTGTCTTTTGAGTTGCTGCTCGTGAATTTAGTTCTGGCCGACAGGGCCCCTTGCTGTTGGGGTACTCATCTGGGGTCTTATTCGTAAAGGCCCTTTTTTTTTTTCCCATTAAAACAGGGCCCTAGGGTCCTGACTCCTTCCATTCTGGGGAGCGTCAGTCCGGTTCCTATTCCACCGGCAAGTCAAAATATGATACATCACTGCAAAACAACTCACGCTTCCTCCCGTCCGGCCGGAGGACCCCTGAACAGCAATGATTGCTCCACTTTGGGTGGAGGATTGACTGTCAGCTTGCCTAGAGTCCCTCTTCCCTCTCAGACCTACTTTCGCAGCTCTGCCAGTTATGACTATTGTGCCTAGAAAGAGATCCTCCCATGCTGCTGTGTGCCCATGCTGGCCCTCACACCCATCCCACCCTTATTTGCTGTGTTCTCCTTGGTCCTACCTGTTCACCCCCGTCCTTGTGGTCTGTTGAACCCTAAACCCTAAACCCTACCCCTCATTTAGATGCCTTAAGTGACCTCCTTTCCTCCCATTAATCCCGCCTACCAGTGATATCCAATATCTTCGTTCTCCGACGAATTTTATCCCTTACCACTATCCTCCCATTGTGAACCCCCGGATCCTACCGATTGAGTTGCTATATCCCTCCTGGCCCTTTACGATTTAACCCCTTCCCTAATGGTCTACTAAACCCTAAACCCTAAGCCTTGCCTCTTGCTTATGTTAGCCCTTAAAATCTCGACCCTAGGCCTGTGCCTCCCTCCTCCCACCCTCTTAAGCAGCCTGCCTTTAGGGTTGGTCTAGTACTAGTTCCTGCCCCGCGGCGTCCTGCGATGTTTCCTGCTGATTCTCCCTGAACCATTGGAAACGGAGTGTTTTCCCCTCCAGTGTCGCTACTCGGCCCGATGCAAGGACCTTATTCTGAAACTTAGTGATTATTTCCTTGGCTTTTTCCGGGCTCGTTTCCTCCTGTTTCTCCGCTTGTTTCTTAACCCTCTGCCACTGGGCCCTGATATCTGTCTCCAGTAAGTGGTACAGGATTGCCTTAGCTTCCTTTGTGGACATCCCAGTATTACCCACCACCATTTGGCATCTTCTTCTCCACACTGTCCAAAGCGTATAGGTTCTCAGCAGCTCGAAGATAACCAACGCCCCGCATCACCAAAGCCTGTAGCAGAAGATATTAACGCAGCTAAGATGGGTGAAGGCGAGTTACTGGGCCTAGGCGGCGAGGTCACATTCGGCAGGGGTAGTGATCTTGCAAAACAAAAGAGCGGCTGCTGCAAATAAGATAACTCTTCAGGAGGCCTTGGTGGACGAGGGGGAGGGACGTTGGATAAAACTCAACTTCTCGTACCAAGAGGAGCAGTTTACCCTATTCACAGTCTACTGCCCCAACTCACGTCACGACAGATCAAAAATGCTTCAGCTGCTCCAGTCACACATAGAGATTACAAGACATAACATAATGGTGGGGGATTGAAACGCCACATTGGAACCAAGCACGAACAGATTGATGGGAGGCAACTTGGGATCGGGAGATGAAACGTTGGGGGACGAAGCATTGGCAATTCACGACCTCATGACTGCTTGGTCCCTAGTGGATCCGTTTCGATTACACTGGCCGGACCAGAAACGGTTCACATACGTCAAAAGGAATCGCAGTCAACATATATCAGCCTCACGGATAGATTTCTTCCTTATCTCCGAGGGGCTAATAGGAGCGTTGCAGTCGGTGAGAATAGGAGAYCTGCCACACTGCAGCTGCTTAGACCACAAGCCCATCTCCMTGGACCTGACCCTGAATAAGTCCTCCCAGAGAGGTAGAAGCTTCTAWAAGGTGAATAACTCACTGTTGAAAACACCGGAGTTGAGGGAGGCTATCCTGAGGGTGTGTCTGGCTCACGATAGTGAGACGCAGTCCTTTCCAGATTTAATAACGGCCCTATCAAGGGCTACGGCAGCGGTGTCTAGACAGCTAGCGGCTAGAAGAAAAGCCAGGRAGAARGAATTGCGACAGGCTCTTCGCATAGCGGAAAGGAACATAATCTGCAATCCTGGTATGGAAATGTACGAAAAGATCATGRAATYAGCAAGAAAAGAACKAGGAGACTGGGAGCGTTGGAAGGCAAGAGGGCTGCARATGAGAGCTAGAATAAAAGAGTGGGAAGAGGGAGAGCGTATGACRAAKTAMTTCTTTCARRAGATTAAAGCTAGGGGTAGAAGCACACAGATTGTGAAACTAGAGGGCCCACAGGGGGAAGTATCAGACCCAGAGGGATTGCTGGAGGTAGCCAGCAACTTCTACAACATTCTTTATAGATCCAAGGAGGGAGAGCAGGACCCAAGGCTAGTAAAGGAGACCCGTGATAAGTTCTTAGCATACTTAGACTGCACGCTTAAGAAGGATCAAATACTAATGTTGGAGGCCCCGTTATCGCAGGAAGAGYTGAGGGAAGCACTAGACTCTATGACCCCCAACAAAACACCGGGAAGGGACRGACTAACAAGAGAATTCTGGCAGGAGTTTTGGGAGATACTGGGCGGAGAATACGAGGCCTACCTGAATMAAGCCTGGTTGAGGGAGGGCCTAGGAATAGAAGCCTCGACGGGAGTAGTCACGCTTCTCTACAAGAAAGGGGACCCCAAGGATATCAAGAACTACAGGCCGATCACGCTGTTGACTCTCACCCACAAAATCATCGCCAAAGCGCTAGCCAATCGACTGAGGAGGATAACGGACAGATGTTTCCACCTCGATCAGACAGGCTTTGTCCCGGGGAGGTTCATTCTAGACAACGTGATGACCCTTTCGGAATCGGTTAGATATATAGCGAATAAAAGATTAAACRCGGYTATMCTCTTCTTCGATTTCGAGAAAGCATACGACCASRTYAACTGGTCATTTCTACAGCAATGCATGGAAAAGATGGGGGTGGGACCCAACTTCCGTAAGTGGATAAGAGTCTTGTACAACGACTCTCACGGTCAGGTGCAGGTCAACGGTCACCTCTCCGGGAGATACAAAATGACCAGGTCAATCCTCAATGTCTCCGTCTTCTCTATTCTATGGTACGCAGGGACTATATGGTCACCCCCCGGGCGCTCTTTACGAAAGCTTAGAAGGGTAGCGGCAACTTATCTGTGGACGGGGAACCCAACCAAAGACAGCTTCATTCCCAAAGTAGCTTGGAGGCAAGTCATACAACTCAAGAGTAAGGGGGGGCTGGGCATCCTTGACCCGGAACAGCAGATAAAGGCACTCCAATCCAAGTGGCTAATTTCTCAACCTCACCTACGTTGGGTCCCTTTGGTCCTGGAACACATTCGAGGACTGTCCAGGTATTCTACCCCTTCCAACATGGAGGGGACTTTCTGGATCTTCTGCAAGGGATGGTCAATGAGGGGCAGAAGGGGGGAACAGGAAGGGGAGGAAGACTCCGCTTCCTCCTTGTACTGGGCCCGGATCCTGAAGATTTGGGAGGAGATATTCCCGGCTAGAGTAAGGAAACCCAGGTCTAAGGAGGAGGTCCTCAGACAACCTCTATTCTGCAATCCGTGGCTAAAAGAATACCCGAACAACCCGATTATAGAATGGCTACCGGCGAATCCAGACTTCCTAGCCCCAAATCACGACTCTCGGGTGGTGTGTTTGGAGGTCAAATCCGGGGCACCACCTAAGTTCCCGGAGGTGTGGATATTCAGGAGAAGGACGGAACGGATCACGGTTTTCATCTCTACTAAATCGAACCTGTTTTGCTTTAAATGCAGAGCAAGAGGGCATCTAGGAATGCACTGCCCTCAGTCAGGTACGAGATCGGGAGGGAAACAGCCTCAACTAAAACAATCAATGCTGGTGGAAGCAGACAATAAACCAGGAGTCTGGTATATTAACTCGACACAATACAGAGGGTGGATCTTCGACGACAACCTGGAAACTCCTAGGTGGGTTTGGGTTTTAAACAGCAGTCCCACTGTGAAACCAAACATCTACCCGCCGTATGATAGCCGATGGAGACAGGCAGGGGCGAAACGCATGGAAGACAAGGAAGTAGGCTTCATAACGAAGCCCATGATCGTCGAGGACACAGTATTGGACGACAAACAGCGTTTGCAGACTATGGCGGAATTGCACAAGCTGGGACAAGAGGCAGAACTGGCCTTCCTGGAAAACAGGAGGGCAAGGGAGGAGGCAGAGAAAGTAGCGGGTGAAGAAAAGGGAAGGGAAGGAGGTGAGGGGGAGGGGAGTAGCAACTCCCCGGACAACGGCAAGAGCACTAAGGAGCAGAGTAATGAGAAGGAGGGAACCAGGGGGGGGAAGGAAGACGGAGGCCCACAGGCATCCACGAAGAGGAAACTTCGGGACAGGGAAGCAGCAACGTCAACGAGCTCAGGTCAAGAAGCCAAGAGATCCAACACAGGTGGAGGGGAAGAGGAAGATCCAACGTCGCAGGAAAAACAACAAGGAACGGTTATGGAGGACGCGACGTCAGAGAAGGGCAAGTCACAGAACGAGCAGATGGACATGTCATCATCAGTAGCTGCGAAATCTGCAGCAGCTCCAGCAGCGGCATCAGCATCATCGACCCCTCGAAGGAGGGAGGACACGTCATCAGGTAGCAACAGCTCAGCACACAGCCGGCATAAGGACGGTGGGGGAGAACCAATGGAAGTTTCAGCATGAGGCTCACAGGAGGTGGGGATCAGCGGATCCGAGGAAGACATGCAACAGGACACAGATGAGGAGTCAAAGGAGGACGCAGAGGGGGAAGAATGGGAGGACGCAGAAGGGGAAGAGCAGCCCGAAACTTTGGCACAATGGATCAGAACAGTCCACAAGATGAGATGGGAGTGACATATCGAGTGCGAGGTTTGCCTGGCACACCACAAGCACCTGCGCAACCTGAAACAAGCAACCACAACACGGGAAGATATCACTTCAACCAATAGGTTCGAATGGTTGAAGAAGGAACAAGAGATCAATGAGTTCTACGCTGCACAATATGCTTGGAAGGCACGCCCAGACAACAATGATCTCACGGTGCACAACGCGAGCTACGCCAAGCAATTCATATGGCCCAAAACTTATCAACCACAGGGCCTAAAGAGATCTGAACAGAAAAGAAAAGCACAGCAGGAGACAGCGGGCAAGGCAAGCAACATGGAGCAGGGAACGGATGACTCGTCAGAAGAGCTTGAAGAGAGGGAGCAGATTGAGGAGGAAAGGAGACAGGCAGCAATCCTGGAAGCTCAAATCAATGTTCTCAAGGACCAGAACAGGGAGCTGGGGGGCGACACCACCAATTTGCAAAAAATAGCATATGCCCCGCACCCTGACATAAATGCAGCAACCAAACTCTTCACAAGGCACAACCTGGGAAGGAGAGTTATATTGCCATACCGTTGGAACAGCGGTAATTCCGACTGGGAGGTAGCTATCCACCGGTCACTAGCTCTGATCACAGCAAGAGACAGCCAGTGTACAAGGGCTGGACTCCGGGAACGGATCACGAAGGACTTGCCAGACAAAGCGCAGCTATGGGGTAGTACCACAGAGAACCGGGAGGAGTGGGAGGACACAGCGGGAGGCAAACAGATGTTAGACTATAGACCTATCGTCTTCGAGCTACAGGAGAGTGCAAAGTTGACAGAGGGACTCATCTTGATGCCATGGCTGGTAGTGGAAACGATACCTTATGGCCTCCTGGGCGGCTCAGAAGCAGCTGAGTGGGTTGCAAGGGGAGCAAAGATTATCACCAGATCTGGTGTCTTCACCTGGCTGCCGGATTACATAGGGGAAAAATTGGCTCACATGGTCGAGGAGGTGGACTGGGCACAAGGGGACCCGTGAGGAGCTCGCCCCCCCAAGAGACTCCTGTAAAAGATAGACCAGATGGCAGAGAGGCCAGAGGAAGGAAGACTCAAGAGAAGAAGAGTAGCAATCGGGATAGGGGAGAGAGAAGCAGAGATTAGTGTAGTGTCGTGGAATGTTAATGGCATGGCGCAGATTCTGGAAAACAAGGATAAATGGAACAATGTATTGGAAGCTACGGAATGGTTTGGAAGAAACCCACCAGATTTTCTTTGCATACAGGAAACTCACTTAACCAACGCCCCGCATCACCAAAGCCTGCAGCAGAAGATATTATCGTAAAGGCCCTTTTAATTCCTGCAAAAACGACAAAAACGACAGTTGAAGCCTCACGGAGAATGCTGGGTCCAACTCCCAGTGCAGATACGAGGAAACACAGTGGGGTCCGGCGAGGAGCGGAAGGAGGCTCCCACTGGTGCCCCCCAGTGGCTCCTTCCTTTTTTTTCCCTGAGCCAACAGGACCAACTCTCAAGGATGAGGAGCCTGCTTCTCAGCGGGGCTTCAGCAAAAGGACAGTTGGGACTGGGGCAGGTTGGCGGAGGGAGGAGCCAGTATGTAGCAGCAGGTTTCTGGCGCCGGCTTCAGGGTGCAGAGGTTCACCCCCCTTCCAATAAGCCTGCTCAGTCAATCCCCTAGATCCCAGGGCAATCAATGCTGGCAGGAACTTCCCATGTGTAATGACCCGCCATAACACAGACTGAGAACACTGCTGATTTCTGAAGTTCTGCCGATGGAATGGATGCCTTGCCGAGATTCCCGCATTCTGCTGTGTTTTCTCAGTCTGTATGTGTGCGTGCCTGTGGACTTGCATGCCTGTCTGAGTGCTTGTCGGCATGAGTGTGTGTGTGACCCGCAAGGGTACTTGCTTGTTTGGCAGGCCCGTAGGGCCGGTACTTACCTGTGGCCGTGGCATTGAGGGTTGCAGCAGGGAAAACACTCAAGTAGTGGAGCCAGGGGCCCGCTGTGCTTAGAGCAGCGGAAAAACACTCAAGTAGCAGGTAGGCCGGTACCGCATCCAGTAGCAGTAGATGTGCTGGGTACTCGAGGCCGAGCAGAAGAGGACAAAGTTGGCATTTTTAGAGGCCCAGTAGCGGTAGGCTAGGTCTAGGCCAGTACCAGTCCATCCAGTCTGAGTATAGAGTCTGTACGGGCAATATCAGAGTCTGCAATGATGTTTCCCTCCGAAAGGGAGGAGGTACCGGTTGCTTGGGAGGCCGCGCGGCCTGGAAGTCACCGCCCAGGAGGCATGCAGGCCGCTATATCAAGAGGCCGAGGCAAGAGCTCGGCCTCATTCTTCAGTGTGCAAGTTTGGTGACACGCTGCTGGAGCGCTGGCTGGAGTGGCG